CCGCTGCTGCAGGCGCCGCGACCACGACGCCGCCCGCCCCGTCCGCCGTCCGCTCCGGCCGCCCGCTGGCTGCGTGCGCGCGTGTGGAGTCGTGGCACTTTCTGCCTCGGAGCTGGCGAACGGCCCCCTCCGCCGGGATCGCCGCCTCCTGCCTTCCCCACCCGGGCCAGCCATTCATCGAGCTACCGCTCCCCATTGGTCTGCTCCCCGCCACTCTCAGAGCGGCTGGCCAGTCAGGGCACGGACGGCCGAGCCGCGGCGGCGACCATTGGCCAGAGAGGAGGGTCTCCGCCTCGGCCAATGGACGAGGGGAGGAGCTGCGGGGAGCCGCGAGGGGCGGGGCCGCGCAGCGCTGCGCTGGCCTCTGCGCGGGGGCGGGGCTCCTAGCCCCGCCCATCGGGGAGGAGGTCGCCGGCCAGCCCCGCCCCTTCTGGGCAATGGCGCTCTCCGTGACCGCCACGGCTGCGGTCTCAGCTAGCCGCTGCACGGGGGCGGTTGGCGGAAGGTTCGAATCCCGGCAGCCCCGGCCTGAACCTCTGGGCGCCGCAGTGCCGAGATGCGGTGGACGTCACCCTGAGTAGATGGCACAACCAACCAGAGAAAATGCTTTATTCAAACCCAGTAACTTTGCCCAAAGCACCGCTGCCTCGGGCCCCTGGGTCTGAGGACCAGTTCTGCTTGGGGTCAGCCCAGGAAAGGTAAATCCTTATCTTCAGAGAGATTGCAATCGACGCAGAAGGAATTTCCTTGGAAAAATGGAGGAATGGGATGGAAGAGCCGGAACACCCTCTAGGAATTGGGGTGGCTGCCTGCACACTTTGTTACGGAGGGTTTGTCTGAGATACTGTGCTCCCCCAAACCACAGCCGGGAAGGCCACAATCACCATCCACCTTAGGGGCTTTTGTTCCAGGTACCAAGGCCGTGGCCAGGTTCCGATCCAAGGAAACTCACCTGTGTCCCGGGAAACCCAACAACGGACTCTTCATTGCATGAATTTCCCTAACGTTAATCAACACTTTCCTAACCAAATTCAATTGAAATACTTTGGGCTTGGTTTTTAACCATCAGAACAGGAGGAGAACAGGTCTTTTAAAAGAAATCCTTTGAGAACAGCTTCTTTTAATTTAGGCTCCTAAGGGGCCAGAAGGGCTGCAGCTGCTGGTGGACTCCACTCCGTCCTGGATGGCTGGGGTGGGGGGCAGCTGCAGGGTCCCCAGCACCAGCTGTATCTGCACTATTTCTCCACTACCACCAGCCACACTTGCCTTTGATACTGCACGAGACATTGTTAGAAAGATGTGGAAAAGAAAAACCTTCCCAAGAGAATAAAGAAGGGTTAGGGGGAAATTAAACCATTCATTCGCCTACTTTCAACTTGGCATTCCCAGTACATTAATGATTAATTGACAGGAAGTAACCTGGATTAGCTCTCTCTCCTCATCTTGCAGGACTGAACCCCACCTTGGAATAAAATTCAAGAATCTCAGCTTCTAATTGGAAGTTGCTGCTGTCGAGTCCTGCTCTACCACGGGTAAGCAGTTTAACCTCTCTGTGGGTGGATGCGTTCACCTGGGGTAATCGCGTCCTCTTCTGGGCTTGAGAGATGAAGCCATTCACTCCTTCCCTGGTGTTTGTTGAATGCCAGGGGTCCACATCCAGCCTAAGCAGCCTACAGTGACCCATATAGGAGCTGATCAAAAATATGCTGTGTTTCAACACACGTCACTAACTCCCCTCAGAGTGTGCCCCCTTGCTTTGAACACACTTATCCAATCCTTCCACTTTCTGAAGCAGCTCAGGAAGTCCTTTTTCATGAATGTCTTTAGGTATGGCGATAAAAAATATGGTGAATGCTGGTGTTGAGTGTCACCGGGCAGAAAGGCAGGTTCTTCTTTTGTTGTTTTTTTTTTTAAGACAGATTCTTGAAAGCATGGCGCTGTGTCCTCATCCATCTTCTTCACAGATCTGGCATGTTCCAACTTCTGAGTCCTCCCTAAAGTAAAAAATGAGCACTAAAGGAAGATGCTTTGAATGTATTCAGGACATTGAGGCAGCCACAGCAGTCCAACTAAGGACCCCCTGGAAAGAACATCCCAGAACTGCTTCAGCAAGGGACAAGAATGACGGGATAAGTGTTAAACATAATGGCGTATACGTGAGGGAGATTCATGGCAATGCATCTTTTCTGTAATACATTTTTGGTTTGGTTTGTTTCATTTGGGTTTTTTTGTTGTTGTTGTTATGTTTTGTTTTTTGAGACCGCTCTTGCTGTGTAGTTCAAGATGGCCTCACTCTATAGCCCAGGCTAGCCTCCAGTTCACAGCGATTCTCCTGCCTCAGCCTCCTCAGTACTGGGATTACAAATGTGTGCCACCACAGCTAGCAGCAATACATTTTTAAAAATGTAAACATTCAGCATGTGTTATGGTCACACTTGCTAGATCCAATAAAAAAACCATCTGCCCAAGCGCCTGCTCCTGGGCAGGGACTTCTTTATCTTGTTTACTGTTTTCTTTACGTTTTCTCAGAAAGAGATCCTGGCAGAAGGATTTAGCTGAAAGGTAGTCCCCCTCTGCTCAGAATTTGAGGAGGATTAGTTCTGTTACCGGGTCCTGGGGTCTCTTTCCAGAGGGGGTTTGTAGGTTCTTCATTTCTTGGACAAAGAATTAGACAAAAGAAACGCAAAAGATTTTATATTTATTAAAGGTAGGAAAAGAAACTTGCTCTGCAGAGCAAGTTTGGGCCCAGTAGAAACAGGAAGCAAGTATACTCTACAGCATGAGAGCAGACCACTGTGAGAGAGAACACAGTAGCCCAGAGCTCCAGAGCCACTGTCTTTGGTATCTCCCACTCCTCAGGCTGACCTAGGCCTAGGCTGTCCTATGGAAAACTTGCTCAGTTCCCTCGAGAAGAACGGGAGCCAGGGCTGTCTTAGTGTTTCCATATACAGGGCCTTGGGATCTGTTCTGCACAGGTGTCCTGGGGCTTTGTAATGAACAGGTCTTCCCCAGCCAGTCTAGGGCCATGCCCTAGTCTCCTGCTCCAGTTCACAGACCCACCCCCGCTATACCAGAATCCAAGCAGACCCCAGGCTGGCACGAAATAGCATAGCATTTGCACAGCACCTGTACACATCTTCCTGAGCACTTTAATCATCTCTAGACTGCTTGTAATACCTAGGACCACGTCGACACTGCGTACATAATTGAACTGCATTGCTCAGGGAATAATGACAGAGGCAGAGTCTGTACATGCTGAACTCAAGTGTAAATTTTTTCCCAAATATTTTGTGAACAGTGGATGTGGGACCTGTGGAGCCTGTGGGTATGGAGGGGCCCCAGCTGGAGGTGCTTGTAGGAAACACTGGGAGGAGTGGGGTGGGCAGAGCCCAGTGCCAAGCAGTAACAGCCATGGGTGGTGATGGAGGCGGTGAGGACCCCAGAGATGGCCACTGCCCACGTGGGGACAGGGTTCCTGGTTGACCACACCCAGGCCACCCTGGTTCAGAGCTGCTTCTGGGAGGACTTAGCTCACCCCATGCCTCATCTGCCAGAGAAATCCCTGCAGCAGGGAGCCGCTGGCAGAATTGCCACCATGACATCTCCTGCAGGGAGCTGTCGAGGGCATTGTGCCCATGGGGACAGGCCAGGAGATGCATCACCTGTCAGCACCGTCCTGCAATGGGTCGCAGCACTCAGGGAGTGAGGGTTACCTGCAGAAGGCTCCTGGCTGTTCTTTCACCTTATTCAATATTGGGTTTGGCATCAGCACAGTGTCTGATTCAGCATGGACCAGTGGCCTGCTCTGAGCTTGGCCTTCCTCATCCCCAGCTGTCCCGTCATGGCCTGACCATCGAGGTCGTGCTCCTTACCCCTGCTCAGCCTCAGGAGCTCCCCTGAAGCTGGGACTGCAGGCTGGGGTCTCCCCAGCACTAGATGGAGGAGATATGAGAGGTGTCACCCACTGGCTCGGCATACACCACAGCCCGGCATCTGCAAACTCACCACCCGCAGCCAGGCGAGGAAGGCCACACCCTCGGGGTGTTCAGGGCCCAAAACACAGGTCCCTGGCATCCCCAATGACAGTCCACCAAGGAGCCCAGTTGAGGTAGGCTGGGAGCTCTGGGCGGGGATCACCCAGCCTGGGTTGGAAGGGACTGGAAGGCCTCAGGCCACACAGCATAGGCGCCCAGGGACCGAGAAGGTGCAGTGGAGGCACACTGACTTGGGAAGTGCTGGATGAGAGGGAAAGGCCGGAGATGCATCCCCAAGGTGACCCTAAGGGACTTCCTTCGAATGGTGTGAGTGCTCCCTATATTGTTAATAGTGGTGGTTCTGTGGCTATGGGAAAACATCAAATTGTACACAATAAAGCATTCTTATTAGGCACAATTAAACATACAAGAATACCTAGCATGGTCTATTAATTCATGACAGCGCTTTGCTTTGTGTTACTAAATTGCAGATAGTGTTTTAAAAGACTAGCCAAAAAAAAAAGACTGTCCAGGTATGGTGATACACACCTATAATCCAAGCACTCTGAGAGGCTGAGGCAGGAGGATCAAAAATTCAAGCCCAGCCCATGCAACCTAGTGACCTAGTGAGACCCTGTCTCAAAATAAAAATATATATATGAAAAGGACTGAGGATATAGCTCGGTGTGACACCCTGGGTTCAATCCCTAGTACCACAGAATAAGGTAGCCAGAAAGATGAGACTAGCTGGGCATCATGGTGCACGCCTGTAATCCTAGCACTGGGGAGGCTGAGGCAGGAAGATTGCCGTAAGTTTGAGGCCAGCCAAAACAAAAAAGGAAAACCCGGCCCAAAAAAAAAAAAAAAAAGATGAGACTATGTCTTACAGTTTCAAAAGAGGTTTTTCTTTGTCAACAACTGTGAAAAGATAATAAATGACAAACTAAAACATGCGGAAGGAAGTGCATGGTGACAATGCGCAACATGCTCAGGTCTTACCGTGTGCCCAGCATGCCTTGAGAGTCCCTACAAATATGTAAACTTAGCCCTCAGCACGGCCTGTGAGGGAGTGGCAGTTGTTATCTCATCCCCGAGATGTGGGGTGCGGGCCCAGAGAGCCTGAGCAATCTGGCCAGGCAGGAGTGCTGGCCTCAGGGGCCCCTGCATCTCTTGGGATGCACTGGACCTGTGGTAAGGGGGGCTCAGCTCACCCCACCCCTCATCTACTGGAGAAAGCCCTGCAGCAGAGGACCAAGAAGGGTGCTTTTCCAGCTTTCTAAGGAGCTTTGCAAATGGTTCTTCCTGTCACTATAGAGGAAAGTCACACTTTCCCACATTAAAAGAGCCTAAACCCAGTGCAGTGGTGCATGCCTATAATCCCAGCACTCAGAAGGCTGAGGCAGGAGATTGCCATGAGTTCAAGGTCAGCCTGGGCTACATGGTGAGTTCAAGAACAGTCTGAGCTACATATCAAGACCCTGTCTCAAAAACTCAAAAAAAGAGCCCGAGACTCCCAAAACTTCAGGCTTCCCAGGATGCAACTCTCCACCTTCCCCCTGCAGAACTGAGTGAGCACAGCAGACCCCGGGCCCTTTCCCCCTCCTGGTCCCCCTGCAGGCTGTCCATGTATCTCCCCTCGGCATGTTCCTCAGAAGATGATGAAGAGCTCTGATCCGCCAGGCACAGTGGTGCACATCTGTAATCCCAGCTCCCCCTCCTGAGGCAGAAGGACTGAAAATTCAGGGCCAGCCTGAGGCACTTAGCAAGCCTGTATCTCAAAATAAGAAATTTGTAAAAAGGGGTGCATATGTAGCTCTATGAATGAGCACCCCGGTTTGATCCCCAATACCGAAAAAAAAAGCTTGAATTTTTGATCCTCCTGCCTCAGCCTCTCAGAGTGCTTGGATTACAGGTGTGTATCACCATACCCGGACAGTCTTTTTTTTTTTTTTGCTAATCTTTTAAAACACTATCTGCAATTTAGTAACACAAAGCAAAGCGCTCGTTGAACCAAAGACCCTGGGCAGTCTCATCCTGCTGAGTTACCTGGAGCCCCACCCTCCACCTCAGGTGGGAGGTACAAGAGAAGCGCTGTGACCCCGAGCCCAGCTATACGGGCAGCCGCCTCACTGGACATCTTGATGTAAAAGCCAAGACCTTTGATCAGAGGGCCCCACAGAGCTTCATCCTTCCCTCCTGGGCTAGCTAAGCTTGCCAGGCTGCCTGGCTCCTCTGGAAGACGGGTGGAAGCGCAGCCCGCAGGACACTGACCCTTAGCCCAGAGCTGCATCTGTTGCTGGCCCAGTGACTGCTCGCTCAGCACTCACAGAGCTCTGCAGTGCCCTGAAGTCTGCACTGGCACCGACAGGTCCACGGAGACCAACCCCACAAGGCACTGCCCTCGGTAGCTTGCAGCTGGCTGAAAATGGGGTGCGGGCACTGTCAGGACCTGGCACCTCACAGGACCACTCATTCTCTTTCTCTGCAATCCTCCCGGGAGCAAATGTGCTGGTCTTCTGCGCGCCGCCCTGTTGAGTCTGTTTCTCTGCCTGACTTCCGTGGATCCCAGAGGTGAGTTCCTCCTTCTGTTCCCCAATTTCGCCTCTTCCCATCTGCACCCACCTTTACTGCCTCTTCCAAGCGCGACCTTCGGCTCTTCATTCTGCAGTCGGATCTACGTTTGTCAAGCAAGCTGTCATCGGTACAGACACAAAGTGCAATCAGATTTGGTTATTCTCAGCCAGGCGTGGTCGTGCAGGAGGACCACCTCAACTACCTGTCACAACACCCCCCCACACACACAAATTTGGTTTTTCTTCTACCCATGGAGGCCTACAGAACCCCTTCCCCAGCCACTGGCCCCCTTCCGAGGCCCCGGCACCTGGGCACTGGTTTGAGGGTCAGTTCTGAGCCCAGGGATCCTGGCTCTGCAGAAGCAGCAGCAGCAGCAAGTTGTGCTGTTTTCCTTCTGAATTCCCTGGGATTTTGCTTCCCTAGTGAGGAGCTCTTAGCTTCAGGAAGTCCTGTCTTTTATCCACCTGAAGTCACTCTGCTCTGGGGCTGGGCAGAGGCCCCGCGTGTGCCCGCCTCTGCTGAGGCTCAGAGTCGCGTGTGCACGTCGATTAGTGAGGCCTGCACTTAGGACTTGCTGCTCGGTCTGCTCTTCTGCTCCTCCCCGCAGACCTCAAAGCCGCAGCTCCCGGCCACTCCAGCACCGCGTGGCCTCCTCGGGCTCTGTTCG